TAACTTTTAATAAGATTTTGTGATTGTTCAGACATACCATTAAATTTCATTTTAAGTAATAATAAATCATGAGGCAAGCAGTCAAAGGCTTTTGAGAGATCCATTAGGATAGCTGCCAGATACTGGTTTTTATCCAAGAATTTTTAAAAGAGCTGTATTGCAACCATAACAAGGCATAAAAGCACTAAGAAAGGGATTAAAAATGTTATCACAATGTGACATCAATTGTTCATAAATGGCCCTCTAAAAAACCTTAGACATTACAGGTAAAAGACTGACTGGTCTGTAATTGCTCTTGTCTAAAATACTATTTTTCTAGTACTTGAGCTTTTTTCATATCTGAAAATAACGATACTTGTATGCATCTATTTATCATATCTGTTAGTGGTTGTGTAATAATAGGAGAGGCAATTTTTAACATTTTAACTGAAATACTAGCATAGCCTGTAGCCTTTTTGATACTCATATTTCCTATTTGTTTTTTGACAAAATTTTCAGAAACAGGTTTAAAAACTAACTCATCAGATATATTAGATGTTTCCTTGATTTTACTTACACTTACATGACTATCATTACAAGGTACATTGCTATCACCAATATTTTTTGCAACATTTATATAAAAATCATTAAAAACATTACTAATTTCTTCCTGATCAGATAAAAGAACATCATTTTCACATAGTACAAAGTTTTTTTGGCAAGTAGTACCTTTGTTGGTTAAAAACGGTTTTATAGTCTTCCAAAAATCAGACTGTTTACATCCTCCAGAGCATCTGTCCAAAAAATAATTTTTAATTGATTGTTTCTTGATTTTAGTAACTAGGTTTCTTGATTGTCTGTAATTTTCCCAGTTAACACTATTTCTATTTCTTAGATACTTATTAAACATCATTTTCTTTTTATAAATAGATTTTCTCAAAGTAGAGTTCATGTAAGGGGCAGGCTGTAGAGGCTTTTTTCTTTGTTTAATAGGAGCATGTTTGTCAAAGGTTTTTGTCATTAACAATGAAAATTTTTCAGAAACTTGATCTAAATTTTCCTCTGTATTTATAAAAGATAGATCTGAATTTCTAAAATCATTTAAAAAGTCATCTTCATTAAAATTCTTAAAACTTCTATAGCTAATCCATCTAGCTTTATAGGTGGGTACAGTCAAATTTAAAGTAAAACCAATCAAATTGTGGCAGTCACTTATGCCGCAGTTAAAATTCATAATATTAGAACATTTGTTTGGCATATTGGTAAGTATAACATCTAGTAAACTAGGAGCATGATTTGCAGGATAGCATGTAGGTGATTTTATCATATTTGTTAAATCAAAACTGTCACAAAGTTCAGTTATATTTGTACATTTATCTTTGTTTGCACAGTCATAGTTCAAATCCCCCAGGAAAATGTAATTGTCATAATGCGTAGTAATTTTATCTATGCACTTATATAGATCATCAAAAGAGTCTGTGTCCCTCAGGCTGGGTGGACGATACAATCCAGAAATTAACCATTTAGATTTTTCTATTATTACCTCAATACAAATAGATTCTATGAGCTTGAATTCCAGTTGTTTCTTTCTATCACCTGCCAGGTCAGATCTGGGCCCGTATTCAATATACATCTTAAGATTTTTCTTATCCTTACGTGATATTTTCCTTAACTAAAGATAAGATATTTCTTATCCTTAAATAGTACTTAAAAAGCTACTTAAGTAATTTCTTAGCTAAAATTTTTCTTAAGGTTAAGAATTTTCTTATTTCGTTTGAGAAAATTCTTAAGTACGTTGCCAGGCTATTCTGGTTTTTCCATCGCTTAAAATAGTAACGGAAATGAGAATTAGGCGCACGTCTCATTCAACATGGCGGAGGCAGCAGACGTAAAGAAACGCCGAAACGCCAATTTTTCGGCGAATGACTGCTTATTGCTGGCAAACATTATGGGGCAGTCATCAAACTTAAATAAAACACTGACGAATTACCAGTACGTTCGCCATAAGTTCACCAGCAGTAAGTATTTTGCCAATATTACCATGAAATGTTACATTTGACAGATGGCGGGAGTTGAAGGGAGATAACCAGCTTGTGTTTACAATTCATTCTTCGATCTTGGACTAACGATGTATTTTAAACTCACTGTCCCCGATTATTGTTATGTTGAAATAAACTTTAACACTTAATAATAGAAGAAACATGCTTTTATTGTTGATATAAAGTGACAGTGATTGATCGACAACCACTGAACAAAACAGAAATATAGATCAGGCATTATCTTGGCTGTCAGGGTTTGGTGGTTGTCTGCATTTGGTGGTCCCCAACCAGTACAGAATTATAAACACAGCAAAAAACTTATACTTTTATTAACCATTTAGTACAATCTAAATGCAATCGTCTGTGGTGAATTTTCTCTTTTTATGACATTTTGTTTCAAAACGCAAAAACTACAATGTGTGGGATAGTAGACCTAGATCTAGCTGTAAGAGATACTATTAAAATAAGGAGGCAGGGTAATAAAATTGGATAAAAATATGATAACTTAAAAAAGGTGCATTTATTCATTTGTATGCTTTAATATTGAATCCTTGTATATAATTAAATTCCACGGTGCTAGACTAATATAAAAAGATACATGTATGGAGGATGTTTTTTTTTTCTAGAAACTTAAAGTTTACTGTAATTGTTGATATGAACTTTCAAGTTCCTGTTAACCAACATATACTATTGAAATTTAAATTTGATTCACTTTGTATTTGATTGTCTACCTGGCTGATAGAAACTATATCCACGGTGTTTTCACATTTAAGAGAGACTCTGTATATATGTTGTTATAAAAGTTAGCAAGCTCAAATTTGAATTTTAAAAATATTAATAATTGCTACACAGTCTCTTTGAATGTATAAAATATAAATGTTTCGACTTCATTTAAAGTAGATATGTTATGTTTTGAACTAGTCACACTATAGGCGGTCACAATATGAATATATATATATATATATATAGTGTCATTAAAAAAACTGGCAGTTTTTTAAGAAAAGATCAACTTCACTTGACATGTAATACGGAATGCAGCTTCCCATACATAGTATTACATTGTAGTCTATTCATTATTGTATTCAATTTTAAACATATTAAGTAAGAATTTCATGAATTTCAGTACATTTCTAAGGTTAAAATATTTTACCTACAGATGAGCATAGTATATCTTTAAAGTGTATGGAAACCCAAGCATTATATTTTATCGATCATCAATATGTATTTTCTTTTTTGCTCAGGCATAACATCATCAACAAAGAAAATAAACTGGACCAAAATAACTGAGAACTTTAATACTGTGGCAGAAGTTCCAAGGAAGACAGAGGACACTGTTAAAAAATGGGACAACCTGGTACAAACACACAGGTTAAAGTATCAGGACTTCCAGAGGGAACAGTCTGCTACAGGTAACATACAATTTTTTTAATATTCAAGCTTGAGTAAAGCAAATGTTTATATAATGTGTTGTAGGTGTTTGAGGCTTTTCTATATTCACTCTGTTACTTGGATAATCTTATCATTATTACAAGTATAAATAAGAAATGGAACCACATTGGCCCACTAGCACCAACTACATGTAGGTATAGTATTCAATCTTTTTTTAAAAATGTATCATTTAAATTAAGAAATTCCTTTACATCAATATTAACAATCAATGTCAAGAATAATGATAACATGATGCATATATTCACTTTATCTAAGTTATAGCCTAACTTTTTTATCTTTCAGGTGGTGGTCCACAACCAGGAAAGATGTCTGCAATTACTGAGGCAGTGATGGATGTAATTGGGAGGAATTCAGTAAATACAGTAGGAATTCCTGGTTCTACAAATTATGATTCTTCCTTGATGATGTTAGAAAGGTATCATTTATTAATCATTTAACACAGTAAACACTTAACCTATAAATGTATAGTTGTATACAGTTTGTTTTGTTTCATAATATTATGTAACAATACAGACATTTTATAAAACTTTTTCCATTAGCTGTCAGAAAATTGTGTTATCAAAATTCAGAATTTAAGAACATCATAATCATGTCAGTTAAACCCAATTTTTTGATGCATAGAAAATACTTATTTACATCACAAAATTGTATAAACCGATAAAGGTATATTTTGTGTATGATAATTTGATAAAGCCAGTCTGTTTTTATACAGCATACAAGATAACACATATGCTGTACATGTATGTACAAATGTACACTGAAAGTTCTAGACCTAGCAGGTGATAGTTCATTTCAAAATAACAGTTCATCTGAAGCAGTTTTATTATATTTAAATTCTAAAACATTCATATTTATTGTGTTTTAACAAGCTATTGACATGTAACAATTTTAATTTTCAATTACTGATTTTGCAATACTTTATACAAAAATGTTGGATGTGTCTAAGCCTATTATCTTGTAATGAACTTGAATAAATGGTCTCTTTTGATTACATCAACAATGCTTATCTGGAATTCAAAAAAATATCAGCTTTTCATAAAGGTTATCATTTATCCTTTATCATTTCTATGAAATAAAATGTGTACAAACATTGTTTTCTTCAGTGATTCATAGAAATATATTGTAGTCATGTTTGAGTTTAATGTTACAAAATCTATTTTCACAAGATTTCATTTCTATTACTATCTATTTTTTCTGTTTTTTTGTCCAGACTGACACAGAAGACCACAGACAACACCAAAACAACAGAGGATATTGACATGTAAAATTTACTTTTAAATTATTGATTTTGTAATACTTAATTGAGAAAATATGAGATATGTCTTTTGCCTGTTATCTCATAATTATCATAATTTTTTTTTCAGTTTGTGTTAACTTTTGATATTAAATGCTGTTTGTTCTCTGTTGGACAATGCTTATATCTGAATTAAAAAGAAACATCTGCTTTCCTTAAATGATATTTTATTGTGTACTGAAAAATAACATTTTACTCAGTACATTTTCACTTTCCACTAAACTGATTCATTATTTACAGTATAACAGAAATTATGTTATCGGATCATGACAGTGAGGTAGATCTAGTGGGGCTGAAAACATCAAAAAGAAGTCTTCCATCAACATCAACATCTTGCGCAAAGTGCCAATGTTTAGACTGTTCAAGTATGAGACAACTGAAAAGAAAGAAACTTGAACTTCAAATTCAGTATTTTTCAAAAATTGAACAATGAATGCTGGTTTTTGTGTCGCCTCTACAGAGTAGTGGCGACATATAGGGATCACTTCTCCGTTGTCTGTCTGTCTGTCCGTCTGTCTGTTACAAAACTTGTCCGGACTACTCCTCATAAACTACTGGTGCAATTTCATCCAAACTTTACAGGAATGATCAGTACCAAGTCTAGTTGTGCATATTGTCAGCATTTTCCAGTTCAATGAATTTTGTCAGAGTTATGGCCCTTTAATAATTTTTTTTTAATTTGTCTGGGCTACTTTTCTCATACCACTTATGCAATTTCAATGAAACTTTACAGGATTGATTTGTAGCTCAAGTCCTTGCGCATATTGCACTGGTTTTCCGGTTGAATGGTTTTTGGTCGAGTTATGGCCCTTTGATAAAAAGGTGTTATTTTCTGTGTGTTGCCAGATACACAAAAGCTTGTCCGGACTACTCCTCATAAACTAATGGTGCAATTTGATCCAAACTTTACAGGAATGATCAGTACCAAGTCTAGTTGTGCACTGTCCGTCTGTCTGTCTGTCTGTCACAAAACTTGTTCATTCAGATGTAGTCCGGCTACAGTGAAAAATTATATTTTATAAATTTCACTAGTGATTAATCAGAATATAATCATCTGATATATTACAATAAAACACTGGAAAGCATGAAATAATGAAATGTTTCAAATTAGCTTAAACAATGTTTTTACAGACATATAAGTGAATAACATTTTATGTTTGTTCTAGTAAACTTTATTAGCTGCTAAATACTAACTTAGAAAAATTGTCACTTTGCCTGGAACTTACAATTACTTGTATACCAACAGGCACAATTTAAATGTCCAGCAAAAAGGAATCAAGAAGCACTTGGATTTAAAAGCATAATATTATGTCTGTTTATTAGTTTGAGCAAATGAACTTCATTTTTGAGTTTTTCATTTTGAATTATACAATAACATTTACTTACTTATCATCAAAAGTATGTCTGTACTATATGATCTCTGAATCTTAGACCATTCTGAAAAGCAGCATTGTTTCCATTGATTGTATTGTCTTGAGCATTACTGTTATCATCATTGTCATCATCATCATCTTGTAATGGCATTTGAATGTTTAGCCTCTTGCAAATGTTATGTAACACTGCACATGCTAGTACTACTCTATAAATACAAAAGTGCAAACAATTCCATATAAAATACATTTAAACATATGCACACAATGCTATGATGAACTTGTAAATTAATGAAAATGTCATACATGCACATAATGTACTTTATTTATAAAAAAACTTGCATTTAAGAACTTTTGGGACATTTACTTTATGTGTCTGTAAGGTATATATAAGGTGTCATATGACTTATTATATTCAAAATTCAAAGATACATTTTGGCATTTCTTAGTTGTAGCAATATTGGTATTTCATATTAAATATTTGTTTTTTAAATGCACATTGAATCATTATTTCTATGAATTTGTTCTAATATTAATGGGCCACTTCTTGAAACAAATTAATTGACAATCATATTTGATTTATCTAAACACAATAAATCACAAGTTTACCGATAATAATCCAGGTCCCTGCTACCAAAAGTCAAGGTCACATAGAGAGGTCAAATTTTGTTTGGGGAGCATTTAGTCATCATTTATTGATGGATTGTAACACAAATGCTAATTATCATGACCATAAGTGGTACAAATGCAATTTAGGTTAATATTTGCAAGGTAAATGTCACTAGAGATGATGAAATATCCAGGAATTTTCCGGATATTGCCAAGAGCATAATTATATACTACATTTCTTTTATGCCCATATCTCTGTCAAAACTTTTAAGGGTGTATTTGTCGACAATTTTGCCCTTGTATATTTTTTTGGACATGATTTATACTAGAACCAGCTGTTTGGGGTTTTATATGAAGAATAATAAGAAAAAATAAATGTTTTTACTTGCAAACTTTTTCAGGCTTTAATGACACTTCTCGATGCAAAACTCCAAATCTCCGCTTCAGCTGTCCAATTCCACGTTCTACTTTGGCCCTTGTAATTTTATGACTCCTGCATAGTTTGCCAAATTTTTCAGTAAGTTCAAAACTTGTATGTTGATAATGATGAAATATTATATCAAAGGCTTAATGGGCCTTTAATGTCAAATTCTTTACTAATATATGTTTGTTAATTAACTTTACTGTTAAATGTATTGTACAAATATATATATTAGTTAGATGTTCTGAATTCTTTAATAATTGTATTTAAAGAAATTGAATTACATTGAATAATATTTCTGACTTAAATAAAAAAGTTATTATAGATTAACTATTATAACATGTATACTTATAATCTAGTTTATTTACCTGTTGTATCCAATTTCACCACTAGTTTGGGGATTTATAAATGGTGTGAGCAACCATTTCTTACATGGATAGCCTGAATCTCCCAGCAGATGGTACTGTCCCACTGGCATGTGTCCTCCTTCAAATATTGTTTGTTAAGCCACTTTGTTGTAGTATCCTGCTGTCATGAACAGATCCAGGCCATTTACACACTACATCTATGATCTGATCAAAGGGATCAAATGCTAGCTGAACATTCAAGGAATGAAAGCCTTTCCGGTTAACATACAGCTCTTCATTATTTGCAGGTGCCTGTATTCTTATGTGTGTGCCGTCAATCACACCTACAACTTTAGGGAATTTGGCAATGCCATAAAATTCTTGTTGATTTTTAATCAGTTCCTCTCTGGTGCAAGGGAATTTGATAAATTGTCCAACAATGTCTGGACTGCTTAAAGCTGAGACTACCTCAGTCACAACTCTGCTAACTGTAGGCTGACTTACACCATGTATGTCAGCATCATTAAGCTGAATGGGTCCGGTGGCCAAGTACCTCAGAGTTACCAAAATCTTGTCTCTGACAGACAAACTGTTATTTCTCCTGGCCAGGGGTTGAATCTTGTTATACAATAACTGCTCCAAAAACCTTATTCCACCTTTGTCAAGCCTGTACCTATTTAGAACCTCTAAGTTAGGCATTGTGTCTATTGAAGTTAGGCGGTTTGTCATTTCTGTTTAAGGTTTTAAAAAATAAAATGTAATCTTAAGTTCAGTAAGCACAGATTTTAGTTAAAATATAACAGTTACATAAACTATTTAACTCTGTTAAGAGACAATCCCTATCAGTCACACTCTACTTTGTAAAACTAGAAAATATAACAAGATGTTCTTTTAAGATTGGTTTTGAAAAAGATTGATTATACAAAATTTACTTGATTCAATTACATTACAATTTACATATTAAATGCAATCCGGCAAATAAATTATCCACACAAAAAGCCAGATAATACTTGGGTATAATGTGATGTACATTTGTTTGCAATTCTGGTTCTTTTTATTAGTACAAGTTCCTCTAGCTGTCTTTTAATAATACTCATAAGTTTCAAGACAATAACATTCTTAGTTTAAGAGGTATACAATTTGAAATAAAAAAAATAAAGAAAGGGAGACAATTAAAGACAGCAACCAGACAGTTCCTGTATTTGTCTTACATGACATTTGCTTACATTTTAATTTTCACGGTCATCATTTGTTGGAGTGGTATGCACTGAAATTAAGACATTAAATGCAGGGAAATAACTTCCATTTGTCATATATTATTTTTTTTAAATTTACCCAGTAGGTTTCATGTCAATATGTTGTTTAACTATCAAGTTATGCTCAGGACAAAAATTTGTGACATACAGACAGACAAAGACTTTTACCCTGGGGTAAATAATTTAACAGTATGAGATTTTAATATACATCCCTTCAGGTTTCAATGCTATAGACAGTAATACAATTTATTTATGACTACTCTTCAATTTGAGGTAATGCCTCACTATATGTTATATAGAAGAAAAGCCTAGAAGTTAAAATATTACAATTGGAGTGAATGCAATGCTAATTGGACAAAAGATAATTGTAACTCATGATAAACACAGTGAATTTGGGTGTATGACAGATAACTGACAAAAAGCAATCATATCAACTAGTCCATGAGCATGTAATGTTTAAGCTACATTACATTAAAATGAGTGATTAGTGATCACATTGTGTAGCCTTATAATAGCCATGTTAGCAGTTGTATTGTGGGGCAAATGAACACCCTATATTTCAGGAATACTGTGTAGAATATTTGCACCTTCTGCGCAGCAAGAGACACAAAAACAAAAATCATCAACAGGCTGAAACATCTTTTTTCTATTCAAGGGCCATTATTGAGTCAAACAGCAGAACTAGAGCTGTCGGTAGGATAGCAACGCTCGACTATTCTTAGTGCTCGATAGTAAAAGAGCCTTGATAATGTAAAAATTTCTGAGTTTATAACAAAAGGACAAAAGTTTTCATTAAATCCATGTTACAGTTATAGGCCTTGGAGAGAGTCCTATTATGCTCTCAAAGAATACTATAAAATTTCAACTTGTTTCAATAGAATATGAAAATTCTGAAGTGGTACGCAAACCTAAAAACACATTTTAATTTGAAAAAGGGGCATAATCTGTTAAAATGCTTGATACAGTTACCTCCTCCTGTCAGGTTGGGATCATAATGGTGAACAAGTGTGCATAGTTGCAAAGCCATATGTCAATGGACTTTGAAAATATTTAAGGTATTACAAAAACTTTAACATAAGTGGTAACGCAGACACCAACGCTGACACTCGGGTGACTACATAAATAGCTTTACTTATTCTTCTGGAATAGTCGAGCTAAAAACTTTCACAAGTACTTGAGGTACCAATTAATCCTTGAACATTTCAGTTTAAATGCCCAAGTCATCTAAGAGAATACTGTGTCGGCTCTGTATACAATACAGTGGTCTATAGTAGGTCTAAGCCAGTAAAGATGTATTGCTTCAACTTTGAAGCAAGGTTTTTTTTCATAATCATAATGGCAGCATTTAAGTAAATGATGAATAATTCATATGGGTGCAACAACAAGCTCATTATATTGCAAAATTTTATTTATAAATTTATTCACTGATAGTTTCAATTATCATTGACTTGCTCTCTACACATATACTTCACAACATATTATAAATATCAAAATGTTCAATTTTTATAGGTTCATGTGGTGCTTTAAATACTGGATTACTGGATGAGATACTTTTTTAACTCAGTTCCAATTAAGATTTTCATGGCAGGGGCCTTTTTGAACAATACTGAAATGCAATAATGAAATGTTAAGTTCATAAGTTCATAAAAATCTTGTATTGATTTTCTTTTAAATTCCTATTAATTAAATCGGCCATTCACTGAATGTTTCCTTAAACCGTGTCTTTCCTGCACAACAAGCTTATGAAAAAAAAATCACTGTTTGCTTGAAGAGAAAGAGTGTCCATCCAAAAGTGGAACTTTTAGATGCAAGAATTCAGGAAAATACATCATCCAGTGACTGAGAACCTGAAATAATAAAAAAAAAAATACATAATAATTATATAAGACTTTTAATGTTAAATTACTAGTCTATATAGTCTGCATGAACTCAATATAATCATTATTTAATGGAAGCAGATAAAGTTATCATAAACAGCAATTTTATTGAACTTCAACACACGGCGGCACGAAATACCCTAACATACCCAAATCTGTTTTAATCAGTGATTTTTTTTTTCAATTTCCCAAAAAACCTGGCTTAAAGGTGAAAATATAGAGTGATAAAACAAAAAAGGGGGAGAACCTGAAATCAAATTCCAGTACTTGAAAATGGAATTTACCCACAGATTTGATGTGAAAAAAAATAATATCAATTCAGTACATAGCAGAGGCTGTATAGGGGCAGATTTCTATTCTCTAGGTGATATAAGTCAGATGCAGATTCTGTTAAGTCATGGTTCTGGGAAGGAAGAATACAAGGCATTTTAGGGGAAAATATTAGCATTTTTACAAATTTTAGGGGAAAATATACCTATTTTGGGCTAGGGGAAACAGCCTTTCTACAGCTGTAATATAGATACAGTGAAAAAAATCACTGCAAATGCACCCAAACATAGCAATATACATTTTTGTTTGTAAAAAATTAGATTATAATAATAAAATGATTTGATATTAATAAAATAATATGACCTAGCAGGCTATAACTTTCATTAATTTCGTTGAAATGGGCAGTTCTGATGTTGTTAGAAAATAAACTTGTGACATTTGCTTACCTAGGTTCATTAATGAATATACATGAGATTTAAAATTAAGGTATAATATTTATTGTCTACATTTAAATGTTAATGGTATAATTTTGTTAAAAATTCATACAAGTGTCCATTTAAAATTAATAGCTTTAATGGAGTATACTGTATTTGGGTATATTTTGGTTCAAAACACAATGATAGGAAAATGTATATTTGGGTATTTTTTAATATACCTTAGTGAGAGTGTATATTGTAAATCATAATTAAAGTCTTAAACATTTATTTTTTAGTATATTTCAAATTTTGGGTATTAATATTTGGGTATTTCGTGCATGCCGAACATACATATGAGCCGCGTCACGACAAAACCAACATAAAGGGTTTGCGACCAGCATGGATCCAGAGCAGTCTGCACATCTGCGCAGATGTGCAGAATCCATGCTGTTCGCATACCAACTCTATGAAAAGTAGAGAAACTGATAGCGAACAGCATGGATCCTGATAGTGCAGGCTGGTCTGGTCCATGCTGGTCGCAAACCCTTTATGTTGGTTTTGTCCTGACGCGGCTCATATGTATGTTCGGCATGCACGAAATACCCAAATATTACCCAAAATTTGAAATAAACGCTAAACTACCAAAGCATCTCCTAGGGATCGAACCTATGCCAGAGAGGTAACTGGATTAGAAATCATCGACTCTACTGGTCGGAGACCATCAACCGGACACTTTTGGAACATTTTTCTGTACAGATTTCATAATTTTTAACCTAGAGACCAAAAAATTTGACACAGTTCAGCTAGGTTCTTCTCCTAACTAATAAACTAGTTTGTTTATTTCTGATTGTATTGACACTTTTATCTGAGGCTCGACAAGGAGGGTATCAAAATTACCTAAATTGTCTACACTACAGTAACATGTGTCCGGACAGATATGTACATGATGTGATTTAATTCAGATTAAAGCCTGGGTGTTTTGATTTTTGATTTGTAACATGATATACAATATGTCAGCAACAAATGCTGAAGTTTTGGAAATTCTATTATTCACTCTGCAAATGATTACAGCTGGTATATGAGGTCAGGCATTGCTTTCTTGACCCTCAAATTTCAACGTTAACATTCTTGAAATAGACACTAAAATATTACCATTTACAGAGGTTGAAATAAATTCATTTACTTAATTTTAAAAGAAACATGCACTTATTGTTGATAAAAATGTGACTGACAACCACTGAACAAAGAAAATACTAAATTAAGCATTTTCGGGGCCGTCCGGGTTTGGTGGTTGTCCGGTTTTGGTGGTCCCCAACCAGTAACCCCTCGACCACAGAGGCAGTCAAATACACATCATACATGATATAAGACTAAGAGATGCTACGATATTATACATGACGATGTTCCTACACACATATATATATATATATAAGAATATCTCCTGGATAAGACCCTGCTGTATATTTCAGGGGGGGGGGGGGGGGGGGGTTACTTGAATGTATCAATTAAAAATAGTAATGTAAAATAAAGAAAACAGATGAAGATTTTATAGACACTGGGGTCTTTTCCATGATATAGTGATATTAAAATCACGAAGTTTAAAGGTTACAAACCTGTAAATCCTCAACATCCCTCAACATCAACGGTGTTGTTCATATAAAAGTAATCCAGTGTGCCCATTTTTTATATAAGCTTCCTTATAAAAGTTACCGTTGAAGATGTGCTTTCATGCAGTGTCATCATCGTTTTTATTTAACCAATTAAACACTTCATTGTTTATAACTGGTAACAGTCACCGGAAGTTATTGTTGAAGAGTTTGTGGATCATAATACATGTAAACAAGATGTTTTGTCTACTTCAATCATAGTTGTAAACTCGCGAATTCCGGTAAAAAATCACATACGTAAGCACAACAAAACATATGCGCATTTAGCCAATGCTATGGTATATCTTGACTCTGTTAATCATTT